TTAACTCCATTTTACTAAAGTTAAGAAAATGGTTCTTTCCTCAAATTTTGTTGCATCTTTTTCATATTTGTTTCCATTTCATAGACTCATAGATGCTCTTTCTGTGTATCTGTTTTGTAATCGCAGAAAGTTATAATGGAACTCGAGGGGATGGTGATCTTTTCAGCACTAGTGACTCTAAATCGAAGGATGTTACATCTAACAAATATGTAACAGATTTATAAAAGTCCTTTATAAATTTTCTAAACTATTTAAAAGATTTTATAAATAATTTAAAAGAATATATAGAAAACCTTTTTGTAATAATCTGTAAATCATTTATAAGAATTTATAAAATTATTTAGGCTTTATAAAATTATTTATGAGGATTTGTAGAAATTCTAAAGGTAATTCAATTATAAAGTATTAAAACATTTTATAAAGGTTTATTAATTATTTATAAGGGTTTATAAATCATTTATAAGGATTTATAAATCATTTATAACGGTTTATAAATCATTTAGCTTGTGATCTACAATAAGTTTTTTCTTTTTATGATAATAAAACTAAACAAAATTTGAAATTTTCAACTATTGAATTAGCATTTCAAATAATTCTAACGGGAGAGATGATGTATTTCTGTTGACTGTTACAATAAATATCTTTTCTTTTTTTTTTCTATCTAACTTTGGAAATTAGCTTTCTATTTATAAGGGTTTATAAAAACTATTTGACCGCAATTGAGTTTGATAATCTTTGGAAACATGCTAAAAAGCTGATAGAAGAGACAAGAGTGATAACACATTGGAGGCAACAAGTTTTGATACAACAAAAGAAAAATTGTAGGAAGAATTAAGAAAGTTGGATGTTCAAGTATAAAGGCTTTGCAAGAAATCATTGAGAATTAGTACAAAATTAAGAAGTTGTAGGAAGAACTATAATTGATGTTGATTCAACCATTTATAAGGATTTGTAGAAATTCTAAAGGTAATTCAATTATAAAGTCTTAAAATTTTTATAAAGGCTTATAAATCATTTATAAGGGTTTATAAATTACGTATAAGAATATACAAAATTATATATAAAGGCATAACCATTAAAATGTTTATAAGAGTATAAAATCATTTATAGATGATTTAATAAGAAATAAAAGTGAATTTATAACATTAATAAACATTAAATGATCTAAAGTGTTTATAAAATAATCTTAAAGAGTTATAAATAGTTATAAAATCATTTGTAATTAGTTTATGAATTATTTATAATGGTTTATAAGTCAAATATAATGGTTTATATATCATTTATAAATATTTATAAAATCATTTATAAATTATTATTAGTTTTCNGCTTAATTCTCTCATCTTTACCATAACTCAAAGGCCTATACTTTCAAATCATTGCCCATGAATGTTTACCAGACCATTTGGTCGAAGTTGTTGCCTTGAAACATTTTATAAAGCCTTATAAATCTTATATAAACTTTTTATAAACATATAAACCCTTATAAACCTATATAAAACCTTATAATTAATTTATTAAACTTTACAGATTCTATATAAAATCTTTATAAACACATAGAAATGGTTTGTAAACCCTTTGTAAATTCTTATAAACCCTTATAAATCTTTATAAATGGTTTATAAACTCTTATATGTTCTTATTAACCTTATATTATTAACCTTATATTATGATTTATGAAGTCTTGTAAATGATTTGTAAATGTTTCCATTAACTTGGCTGTCATTTTGTTGCAAATTGTGGTGGTGGTGGAGGAGAGATGTAAATGATTTGTAAATGTTTCCATTAACTTGGCTGTCATTTTGTTGCAGATTGTGGTGGTGGTGGAGGAGAGATGCTCGTAACGACTTATACAAACTAATTTAGAATGGCTTATAAACTTATTTATAAAAAATGACTTATACAATGATTATAAACTAATTTAGAATGGCTTATAAACTTATTTATAAAAAAATATAACTAATTATAAATGGCTTATAAATAATATTATAACAGAAGAAAAGAAGAAACGGAGTCAGTATGGTGTCAAGCGCAAAATCAATTCACAGGTTACTAGCAGACAACTGAATTCAAGAAGTGCTAGTGGGAGTAGTGTTAAGAAGGCTACATTATAAATCAATTCATACATTCTTGTAAATCAAAATAAAATATCTTATAAATCAGTTTATAAGATTTCATAAATCAGTTTCTAAACCCTTATAAACCATTATAAATAATATATAGGCTTTTATACATAATATATCAACTCTTATAATAATAGATACTTTATAAGTGTTTTATAAACCCTTATAATATATTTATAAACACTAATAAATGATTTTTGAGACTTTATAAAGCAATTACCTTTATAAATTTTTACAAATTTTTATAAGTGATTTTATAAAACTTTATAAATATTTGGTATATTGTTATAAGTGATTTTATAAGGGTTTATAAATCATTCAGAGATTATAAAACCTTATAAATATTTGGTATATTGTTATAAGTGATTTTATAAGAGTTTATAAATCATTTATAGGAATATAAATAAACTATTGATAAAGGTTTATAAATGATTTCTAAATCTTCATAAATGATTTATGTACCACTTAACTCCATTTTACTAAAGTTAAGAAAATGGTTCTTTCCTCAAATTTTGTTGCATCTTTTTCATATTTGTTTCCATTTCATAGACTCATAGATGCTCTTTCTGTGTATCTGTTTTGTAATCGCAGAAAGTTATAATGGAACTCGAGGGGATGGTGATCTTTTCAGCACTAGTGACTCTAAATCGAAGGATGTTACATC